CCTCAGCCGACCCCCGCCATGACAGAGAGGAGGGGAGCGATCTCCTCCCCTTTTCGTTCAAATTGATGAAAGATTTTCTACGGGAGCCGGGTTCCTTTCTCAGCGACCTGTAGCTTGCAGTTTTAACTCTCTCTTCCATATTCGCATCTTGTAAAAAAAACCAGGACATACATCTGCCATTTTCGAATACTTGTAGAAGTTTGAGACCATTCACGAGAGTTGCGCATTTTCTACTTGACATGATTGTTTTATCCATAAAGGCTGGTACAACATATTATAATTATCACAATATATGATAAATTTTCTTTATCTTGTTATTCTAACGTAAAAGTGATTTGAATAAAATGAAAATTAGCAAAATCGCGTGTTTCTGAGTAGAGATGCTCGGGGGAGTGATCCCCTCCCCAGCGTTCCCCTTGTGCATAGCAGGGATGGCCGCTGGGGATCATTCCCTTGGGATAAAGGACGATATGCAGCTGATAGCTACAGCGTTTATGGAGAGCTGGCGCAATTTGCAGCTTCTGTTATGTGTTAAAATACTGCTTTAAGCGTCCGCGCGGCACCCCCCCCCCCCTCTTTTCGGCAGCATAACGTCTTCTACCCATTCCCTTGCAGAGACACATCAACTTCTATTTCAACATTTTTACGCTGAAATGGGGCAGCATGAGCGAAAGTGGGCAGCATCCAAGAAAGCAGGAACGTACTGGGAGTAGAAAAAATCATTTTTGGTGCCCCGAGCGCAGTCACTGCATACGCGCATTCCGCAACCCTAAATTATTGAAAGCGAGGAGATCAAGATCAGTTGCAGTCAAAATATGAAATAAGAAAGAGTTTTTCATAGAAAATTAGAAAGCAAGGTGATTTCCCCGCTTGATCCCCTCTTGTGCATAAGGGGGTTCACTTCCCCTCCCCACTGGGGATCCCTTGTCCGATATTGTCTTTGTGCATACGGGGGTCCGCGCGGGGAGGGGAGGGGATCCCCAGCGGGGATCATTTCAATGGTATAACGCGCATCCCCTCCCCGCGGGGGTGTACGTGCATACGGGCCTTAGACGTTGATCAGACGTTTTGTCGGCTAATAAATTCTCTTGCATTCAATTGATTCTTCTTGACATTGTAGCGCTAAAAAGCTGGGATTTCTGATTGCCTTGTCGAAAGCACAGTAATACTGTCATAATGATGTATGGGCAGTAATCAATACATATCAATGTTATGAGAGCTCATCGCATCAATAACGTCCCTTGCATCGGGACGTTTTTGTGATTCTCCTTTGGCATAAACATTCAAAGCATTTTTACTTCAAGTGCAGAAATTCACTATTAGTTCGGAATTTTCGAATTGTTTTGAGATTGAGACTTGTTTGCTAAGTAAATCTATTAGTTCATTTATTTAGAAAATTAAAAATTTAGAAAAGCGTGGATCGCAGATTTTTGTGATTTTCCAGGGGCTTATTGGCTTTTCTGTGATCATTTTATAATTCTCAGAGAGATGATGAAATGCTGCAACGAATGCTACCAAGTTCTTTCAGAAATCTTCGTTCCATTAAATGTAACGCCCCTTCGAAAAAAGGAAATTACTCTTAGAATGATCAATATATGCACACTATGCTTTAGAAAATTCGGAATTTTTCTTCACATGAATGAATATGAAACAAAAAAAAATAAAAAACATTCATTAAATTAGTATTGAGACTAAAATCGAGATTAATTGAATTTGAATGAACGAATATCGAAATGTTCGAACATTATAAGTCAAATTTCGAATAAATATCCGACTAAATATTCAGACATCTAGACTGACAGTGCCTAAAATGTTGACATACCCGCTCGGTCAATATGGCTCTGCACCATCTCAGTATATCGAATACTAATTTCATTCCAATAAGAATTCGAATTGAGCATTTCGGTGAAACAAATAATATTCGTTCGAAACCTAGATTTCCAATGACTCGAGTTTTCGAATTTTATTCGAAAACCCGTTTTTCTTGTTTGAGTTTTCGAACTTTATTCGACACCTCGTTTTTTGATTACTCCAGTTTCCTAACTATGTTCGAGAATCGAAAGCCTGACTTTCTAACTCTGAAAGCAAACATATTCATGGTTTTATTTTCGAATAATCGAATTTTTATTCGATTTGCATCGAAGTGTAATGTACAGGTACTGGTACCACTGAGAGAGTCAAGCTTTTGTGAGCGTGAAAGTAGAAAATCAACCTGGGATGCAGTGGTTTTTGCCCTTATCTGGATAAAAACATGATTTATCCTAATGAAGAACATGGTTTCATGAGGGTCTTTGGAATACTGTTGTGTGGAATTGGAGTGAGCATGAATTTCATATAGCATGTTTATAGCATCGCGTGTGCTAATACAGTCGAGTAGATTTTCTGCTTAATATAGTGTCCCTCCAGACGCGACAACGCTGGGGCGTCAATAATTGCCTGACGAGTTCCCGAGCTAGTGTTTTCCAGTGTTTCTTTGCTTATTCTATGCTTTTTAGGTGATTCGTTGCTGATAAAGAAGAAAAGGGTAAGTTAGAGAGTAGTTTCTGTTTTCGAGAAGTTTTATCATCGCATATTCACAGATATCCACGTGGAAGCAGTTCGCGTCAGCTTCTTGTCTATTTTCTTGTCACTTCATGTCTCTTTCTTCTTGTGAGGTACTTCTTTGAACGCTAGTGGGTTTTTACGATTGACTTATTGTCTTTGTCACATGAAGTACTTGATTAAAATGCTATTTCTTATGGATGAAAGCCGAAGTTGCTGCAAGACAAGCCAACTAGCGTTCAAAGAAACGCCTCACAAGAAGGAGGAGGTTTGAAAGAAGAAGTGATAGAAGAAAAGGAAATGACGAAAAAAATAGATAAGAAGCTGACGCGAAATGCTTCCACGTGGGCATCTGTGAATATGCGATGATAGAATTTCTCAAAAAACAGAAACTACTCCTTAACTTACCCTTTTCCTCTTTATCAGCAACGAATCGACTAAAAAGCATGAAAAAAGCAAAGTAGCTCGGGAACTCGCAAGGCATTTGTTGACGCCCCAGCGTTGTCGCGTCTGCAGGGACACTATATTAAGCAGGAAATCTACTCGACTGTATCTTCTCATGCGCTTAAAGGAAGTGTCCAGGCAAAAACTCGATTTTGAGATTTTTTGCTTACCCCGGCCTATTTGCTACGCTGAATCCGAAAATGCACATCGGAGAGCGCGAAAACGGCGAAAAAACGGCTCTAACACGGGAGGGAATTTGAAAGTGGGCGGGATCCTCTTCACTATGAATTTCGCAGTCCCAGCTTCTGGAGAGATCTTCCCAATATCTCTAGCGCCCTAAGATCTCCACCGGCCAGGTGCGAATGCATGACTTGAAATCGGAACCGAGAAGATCGCTCTGGAAGCTGGGAGCATGAATTCAAAGTGGGGAGGACCCCACTCACATGCTAATTTCCCTCCCGTGTTAGAGCCGTTTTTCGACGTTTTCGCTCTTCCCCATGTATATTTTTGGATTCAGCGTAGCAAATAGGACCGTGTAAGCAAAAAAGCTCGAGATCGAGTTTTTGCCCGGACACTGCCTTCAAAAGCACCGTTCACAAGATGGAGGTTTGCGAGATTAGATGACATACTAGTGTGGACCCCCACACTAGGCAAACACCCAAGCTTTGCCGCAAAAGACTGTTTCTGGAGCGAGAAATCCGCTTCGGAAGTAGCAAAATAGGCGCTCACCTGCGCTGGTTGCAGAGGGTCCGAAACAGGGATTTTTGGGAGTTTCGTGAATTTTCGACTCCATATTCGGAATCATGGCTTTCAGAAGGCCTGAAGGCGATAAAAACATTGAATTCGAGATTTTGGGTGGACGATGCCTTTAAAGCTTCAAAAGATTTTGATAGAATGTTTATGCACGGTTGCAAAATCACTTTATCGGGCAAAATAAAACTGTCTTTCTCAGACACCAAAAAGTCGTGTAGCTTCATAGCCAGAACACAATCGTAAACAATCACACATCGGGAAAAAAGCTGCCGTTTTTACCCGTTAGTAGATCTTCGAGCAAAGATCAATATTTTGCTTTACGTTGGACACCTCTCTTTCCAGCGGTTAAAACTGATCTTTGAGTTTGGCGACTGCTCGAATACTCACTGGATATCTTCTTGTATAAATTTATCTTGCCTAAATTCAGTACTTCTCATTGCGTGACATGCAAAATCGCTGTTCTAACGAGGAAGAAAGGCACACAGATAGACTCAATAGGATTGCTTATTCAGATATCAAGATTTTTGCTGCATTAATGTGCTAAAGCAGCATCATTTTCGACTTCTTGAACAAAGTAGATAGCACAAAAATGGATCTGCTCGCTTGGCGGGAACGAACACCTCAATGAGGCACCGCCTGTGCGGTAGGCTGGTCGTTTCGCTGTACTACTGTCCATCGTATGAGGACCAGTAGTCCGCGGAGGCAGTGCCTAGCTGAAGTGTTCGTTCCTCTACCCAATCGGCTCCAGCTCATACTCATATGCGTAATTCAGGTTCGCTAACATAAGACAAATTGATATGATTTGAATTTTCTTGGTTTTAACATTTTGCTTTATCTAGTCGTTATCTCATCTTTTTGTTGAAGCAAGGAATCTGAAGAGTAACGAAGCGTATAGGGGCAAAACACTAGGTAAATGTGGCTCTCCTACAGCCAATTCTGTTGTCGGGAAATCTTTTGGACTGTGCTAAGACTACTTTCATTGACATGTGTCCACTACAAGTCTATTTTGCGAACGAAAAATAAATTTTTACTTTTAGGCTGTTACTCGTATTCATCGCTTATTCATATGCAGACCAATATATAGCGTGATAAGTATTGATATTTACAACCTGTGCCAAGTGTGTTGGAGCCTACATTTTACTATATTATTAATGACTGTCTGGATATTTTTTGGAAATGTTTATTCCAAAATGTGCATTAAGCGGAAATAATGTCTCCACGCTTTACACTTATGCTTAAACAGTTTCAATTCTCCCACAAGATCAATGTCCGCTTGCTAGTTCATCGTCGGCACGCGGACCTTCGCCTGGTTTTTCCTGCCTGGGTGGACCGCTGAGTGAGCTCAGTTCGTCTCTTGTCTTCTCGTGGGAACCGCCAGATCTCCCATCGTCTCTGTCCTCGATGGGACTTGCACCTAGGTCGGGGGAACGATGTTGGCTATGGAGTCGTTCTCCATCCTCGGAATGGTCAGGAGAGAACTGTGTCTTGGGCGAATCGACAGGTAAGCATTTGACTGGTGGTTCACTCTCCTTGCAAGCACCGGAAGGTAGAGCTGATTTTCCTCCAGTGGGAGGCGCCGGATCCTGGCCTACACCAGGCTGCGTCTTTGAGTCGGGGGCTCTCTGAGCTTTCTGATGAAACTTTCCATTCTTTTCTTTCGCATTGGGGCTAAATCTGATGGCACATAACACATTGCGTCCTTCCGCGTGGCAACCAAGTTGAAAACTTATAATCTTTCCATTTTTTTCCTGAAATGAATAATTTGTTCCTGTCTATTACACTAGATCACACCATTCGAATCTGTTGAATTTTAGCGAAAAAGTTGTGACTTAGACTTTTGAACAGATCGAAATATTGTCTTCGACGCGCGTGCACCAAAATGATTGAGCGTGCACGTATAGATAATCCGAACGCACGCAAGAAAGGCACCCTCCACCCTAAGTTGGAGGTCTTGAGCTCTTGGCAACTTGCGATAGTAGGACCCCCCTCCCCTTCCTGTAATGCTCGCCTATCCCCCCGCGCCCATCCAATCACTGCTCCGACAAGCCGGCTTGCGGATTCTCAGAAAGGGGGATTTTGGGGTTTTTGCGAATTCTCGACTTCATTTTCGCAATCAGAGACATGAGAAGGCCCCGGAAGGATCAAAACGTGGAAGCGAGAATCTGTGTGGACGGTGCTTTGAGATTGTTTATGGCTGGCTGTGGAGACGAGCAGCGTTTCAGCCGTGCGTCATATAGTGCATGAGGTTGATGAATTATTCACACCCTCTGACTCAAAGGATTGGCTGCTGGAGGGCGGTGCTGCTTAGCGCCTGCACTTCTTTCGTGAGCGTTCTCTCTAATTGCTTTCTCACCGCGAGCATGGGGGAGGCGGAGCTTTAGCCACTAGAGAGCACGTTCGCGAAAGAGGTGCAGAGGCCGGTGCGGCGGCCGCGAGACACGAGCCCCGCCCACCAGCCGCCAATCCTGTTGAATCAGAGGGTACACAATCAAGCTTTAACTTATGCACAAAAGGTGCTGACTGAAACGGAAGGGTTTAGGCTGCTGCATGGCGAAGGCGCAATATCTTTGAGCGCAAACGCTGCTTTATTAACCGCAGAGATATGTGGCGCAGGATTTACAATGGTCAAATTACGCGCACGCCACATTGTGCGTCAACTACTAATGCTTCTGCCCTTCGTCATGCAGTAGCCTTTGCAAAGTTGTAAGAAAGTTATCAGAAGTGCTTTCTACTTACCTTTTTGGCAAACTGCTGCAACACAGTCTTGATAACTACAGACTGCGTCAATAAGATGGGACCGTACGCTCTGTATAATTGCACAACATCACTGAAGCGGTTTTTTTCTGAGAACTTACCCTTTCACCTCAAAAGGAAAAGTTCTAAATCCACAAGCGTCCGTTATGCGCAATTTTTGATCCTGATTCTTCATCCTAGCGCAGGAGATACGTGTTAACGGAGGCGACAGAGTCTAAAGGTTTGGTTTGATTTGATTCTCAGCAAGTTTCCGGTTTCAAAACTGAAAACTGAAAGATGAAAGCTCCGTGATACTAGCTTTACATGGATTCCATTTCTACTCCTGCTTGCTTATTAGTAAAAATCGAATGAAAACGCCAGTCGTTCAATGATTTCATCGCGTTTTTGTTTTTCGGAATAGAATGGCACCAAATTAGGTCAATTTATGCTTTCTTGTGTAAACTTAAGTTATAGCATTGCAGTACATCAGACCAACCATTCTATATCCCATGAATTCCGTGAAATATTGTTTGAGTAATACGTCATATGATTCTGATCTTGTGAGATTGCCCTGTTCTTTGAAACATCGATGGTCTTTATACTCTTCCTCGTACTTGTCTGCCTTTTTGCATAGTCGTTGACGCGTTTTACCGTCTCGCGACAGCACCGTCGCTATCTAAATCTGACCAAAAATGCATATCTCAAAGCGTGAAAATCAAATTCTTCGGACTTACAAGAAGTAAGAGAATGTAGAAGCGCATTGGTTTGTCTGCTGCTCGTGTACTCACAAGCCTTTTATACAATTTGATGAACGCTTGAGTGAATTGCCTGGCTGTATCGTACTAAATTTATTGTTTTCGATTGACTTTTGGACTGAGGACACTTCGACTATTACAACAGTGCTTCTTTGTGAACTTTCAATAAACTTTGTAGATGCTTTCGAAAAAAAAACTCAGCATCTACAAGCCAATTATGTGCAAAGACAATGTGCCACTGCGGTCGGTTTCGACGTTTTTCAAATCAAGCGCACTTTCATTTGTTCTGCTCTCTCTCTCTCTCTCTCTCTCTCTCTCTCTCTCTCTCTCTCTTGAGTCCGGACTTCTAAACTAATGAAATCCTTAGCTCGGCACGATTTTTCTTGACTGAGCCAAAATGAACAGAGTCGGAGCTGCGTTATCCTTTACTTTCTTACAGTTAGTCAAACGCTAGTCTAATTTCTATGATTTCTACATGCTAGTCAGCTGAGGCGCTCGAAGTAAGAAAAGTAGCAATAATAGTGACTTGCATGGTTATTACGATATGCTTTGGTGGCCAATTGCGCTGAAAAAAGTAAGAGTACTAACCCATGTATGCAATGATTAGGTTGTCTCATAAGTTTTTCAATTTCGATTTCTAACTGCAATAAATATGCTCCTCAGTTCTAAAAAAAAGGTACCATTCGATTTTCAAGCTTTATAAGATGGTATGTAAGCGTATGCACCAACTTTGTTACACCTTGTGCTAGAAGGCAAAATCTAAAAATTTCTGGATGTTCAAAAATTAGAAAAATTCTGTCTATGTTCAAAAGGAACTTACAGGACTTCCTCAATAATTCATGCATACACACTTGACATTAGACCTTCATACGTGAATTTGCTGCATTTTTTTGAGCTGAAAGCTAAAAAAACGAAATTACTCATGCCTTGAAAAAGCGATACTGTGCTGTTCTCAAATAAATAAACACATACTACAAGCCTTTGGGAGTACAAGCGTGGAATTTGAGCTTCCCGTAAACCCTAGTTTTCGAGAAAAATTGAATTTAGCTTTTGTTGCTGGGTCTTTGATGTTAAAATTAATTTTTCTCGGAAACCAGAGCTTGTAGAAAGCTGAAAGTTTGCGGCTATACTTCTAAAGGCTTGTAGTATACATGCGCTTATGTGGAATCAGCGCAGCATCGCTTTTTCAAAAGCATGAAAACTTTCGTTTTTTTCAATTTTTAGCACAAGAAAAAAATGCAGCAAAGGCATATTTGAGAGCCTGATGTGGAATGTATATGTTTAAGCTAGTGGGAAAACCTATTGAATCCTTTTGAGTAAGGATACAAATTTTTTTCAATTTTTGAGCATCCAGCCTTTTTAGATTTTGGCTCCTAGCTTGGGGTGTACTAAAGCTGGGGCATACGCTTACGGCCATCTTATAGAGCATGCTCTGCTCTAGATAATGCACCTGCTTCTTAACTAGAATTGAGAAGTGTAAAATTCATTGAGTTCAAAATCAAATTCAAGAAAACTTATGAGATAACTTAATTTTATTTCCCTATCTCTTCTTGCCTCGGCTACAAATTCTAAAATGCAAAGATTTTCTTTGTCTAAATGAAAATAGTCATTGCTGAGTTGCTGACTCAGCCTGGCATGGTAAAGCTGTTTTTTTTTGCTGACAAATTGATGCGTAATCTTGAGTTTAAAAACTAATGGCTAATCATCCATCGCAGTAAAGCTATGCACTGGTAAGGGATGATTCAGTAGAATTTGGAGCATATCTTTGCTCTAATCTTTTTCTACCTTCTTGTTATGACTTCTCTTGCAAATGACTTCTCAAGCAGACGAATCTCAATTAGAGACAAAGGCAGACTCATGTTCAGCTCGCTGAAAGGAGTCTTTTGACAGTTTCAGTCTTCTGTATCCGCTTGCTGAGGTACGTTACGCAAAGTTTTATGTCAATTTTGTCATTTTTAGTTTTTTTTCTGTGGGCATGTCAGTGCAGAGCAGACATGTTTTACTGAACAGTTTTTCGAAATAATTATTTGATGCTACGGAGCTGGATCACGTTTTACCTGTGCGCATGCTTTAATTCCTCCATCTATATCCCTTATCCTCGGTGGCGTATCCAGGATTTCCGTTTTGGGAGGGGGGGGGACACTGCCATTGAACAGTACCAACTTAGTGCCGCATGCATTAAGACTACGGAGGGGGTCGCAGCTTAGAAGAAAGCTTCAAATTCTGAAACTCTAGACATCCGGGTTTTACGCTTTCTATCCATCCGTAACTACTCCTGCTACTCTTTCACTAATAACATATGAATAGGGAGAAAGAATCTGCACGAGCCGTATATTCCACCTTGTATATACCCCTGATGATCTCCAGCGCCCACTTCTTCAGAGTCATTTCTCTTCTTTCGTTAACGAAATCGATCAAGGCTGTACAGATTATCTAGCCCTATAGTGCTGACGATGCTGCCGATAAGAACAAATGAGTTTCTGAAACGAATTTTTCAATAAACCCTAACTTTCGACTTGTAATTCATCCCAATTTTCATGACCTCGACATATCGTTTGTTCTTGTCAGGAATTGCTTACAAGGGAATGGTCAGAAATCGAAGTGGCCATTCTAGACAAGCTGGGTACCTTTAGATGCAGTATGAAGCGCTGACTCTAAATCTGCCTTCTTTATCTGCTTATCGCTTTTTTGGACGAAGTTATAAGCCGTTAAAGACCATTATTTTGCTTAGAAATTATGCGTGAAATTGAAAATTTAGCCGTACAGAGCCTCGTTCGCCTTAATGCTGGGCCAAAACATGCAGCTAGCTTACTCAAAATTTTGAAAGCCAAAAGCCGAGCCAAAAGTGCAACAATGTGCTCAATTTCGCTGTTTTTATGTCTGATTTTTTCACAATAAAACCGCTTGTAGCTTCGTCCACAGAAGCGTGAAGCAGGTAAGGAAGAGAGATTCGAAGTCAGCGTTTTATACTGCATCGAATGATAAACAGCTTGTTTCGTTTGGCCACTTCGACTTCTGACCATTCCCTTGTTAGCATTGTGTTAGATAAACAGTCGGACTTTGACACGTTTTCATCGAGTTTGAAGAAAGGAAATGATTTTGAAGAAAAGAGGTCGGCCGCCGCGGATCACAAGTGAATCATACGTAACTGGAATATGCGGGTTTTACAGCTTCTCGCTTCTGTTCGTTATGTTTATTGTAGAGAATGATAGGAATACTTATGGATAGGTAAACAGGATGTTGATGCATGCGGCCCTTAAAGGCAGCGTCGGCAAATCTGGATCTGTGGGGCTCTCACATGGAAAGCAATCTTGAGGTCCTAAATAGGAGTCTGCCCAAGAGGCAGTTCAGATGCCCAAGCGGCAGTTCACTCACGGCTAAGATATTGGGCTCCAACTGTGCCCCGTGTCCGTATTCGCATGGATGGATGGCTCAAACATCAGTTTCGCGTGGATACTAGCGCGAAAGCGCCACGAATCCATGTGAATACGGTCACGGGGCACAGTTTAAAGCCCAATATCCTTAGCCGTGAGAGCACTATCTGAGCTGCCGCTTGGGCAGAGTCTTATTTAGGGCCTCAAGATTACTTTTCACGTGAGGGCCCCATAGGTCCAGCTTTGTCTGGACGCTGCCTCTAGGGTGGCTCTGAAAACGCACGTCATTAGATGCGTTTCGATGAGCTCTTTCCAAATCTAGCTCTTTGGAAAGAAAACTTTTGGGTTAAACTCAGCGGTTAGAAGCGTGAAGTCAATGGGATTTTAGCGCTTATATGCTTATCAGTTTGGGAGTACATAATTAGCATGAAATGAGTGTAATATTTGATTTAAAGGAATGCTCACTTTTATTGGAAAGACAAATAAAATTTTGGACAAGCCATTCTTGAAAGTGTGTGAAAAATGTTGGCCAAGTTTGAACGTTTAGACATTTTCGGAGAGCCCCGATGCACATGCGAAAAGTATGGAATCAGCTTATCAATACGATTCTAGTGGTAAACGGTTTATTGGTATTCCCATGTTAAGTATATGCCGATTTCGCACTGAGAAACGTTTACAACTCGCTTTAAAATAGTGCGCCGCAGCTGGTAAGGGTATTCGGAATTAGTTTTCGAGCTAGTTAAAGGTTTATGTCTCTTTTTGAAAGGGCTTTTCTTCAGCTGCTTTTTCTTATAAAGATGTAACATTCTGTCAAGAGTGGCCTGCCAGGTACATTCGGATTCCCAATAATCACGAGCTCCTTAGAGTGCCAAGACATTGCAAGTCTCGCTTTTTTATCCAGTGTCGCTTTGAATGCTGAAACCGGGATTTTAAAGAAAGAAAATTGAAGTCCAACAGCGAAATCGCTTTAGTCACGACAAATTTAGGATACAAAGGTTTTCGAGGTTGCCCTTTTCATTAGTGAGATTTGTTTGTTGCAAAGTCAAGGTTCAGCGTTGATCAAGACC